TTTTTTTTCTCATGGAATACAAAATAATACTAAGGTCAAATTTATAAATTTGTAAAATATGTGGTTAGCATTGAAATGTTGTAGAAGTTGATGAAAAGAGAGAATATTCTTTTGGGTTTGAGATTTTGAGTTTGAGAATGAATTTTTTGGTTCGAGGTCAATTACTGTTTGATGTGATGTGACATTTACTGCAAATAGGAATGGGTTGAGAATGTGTTTTTCGGTTGGAAATGACCAAACCCTCCATTTTTTTGGGAGCATTTCTGTGCGTATGTTTGGCGCATTGTTTTTTAATCAAAGCAACAAGTTCATTCTAAACCTTAGGGGCAATTTTTATGACAGGTGACTTTGATGATTTTTGTGAACGCGCATCAGAACTTATTGATCAATCAAATGGTGCCCCGTTATTTACCATAGCGGAGATCTGCAGCTCCCCCAAGCTAGGCTGTAAGCATGCTGCATTTAGAGACAACGATTCTTCCGAGACTCACGATTATGATAATCAGCTGGTGACTGGTGAATCAGTGGATTGTTCCCAGGAAGATGACGACTGGCAGCTTCTATGAATGGATGATATGAACTGGACACACACACGCACATTCTCCTGGATCTGTCTCGTGTGTGTGTGCGCGCGCATTCTCCTGGATCTGTCTCGTGTGGCTAATTCACTTGACATCTCTTTTTATGTGAGACACGTATGTTACTCAGTCATATGTTTGGTTCATGTACAAAGATATATTCCTTTGTAGGTCTTACATTTGTTATCTTGCATCCATTTTTCAGTTGCAATGAATGAAACCAAATATGTCAAAGAGAGTACATTAGATTGTATCCATGGTTGACTTAAGCTATTCAAAGTTGGATTGGGTGATGGTCTGTGTGGTTTGTGATTTTGGTGGGATGGCGCCCTTATGTCTTTTTTCGATACATCTTTTCTTTCTTCAAATGATTGTTATGAAAACTTTTGACCCATCTACTCTCTATCTGATTGCTTGCATTCTTTGAACTAGAACTATGTCCTATTTATTCCATGGAAAGTCCTGCTTTAAGTTCCTAATCAGGCGTATGCAAATATCATGGTATTGACCGACCAACTCGATCGAACACCGACCTATACATAATTCCGGTTCAGCGAATTTCCACAGGCTCCAAACCGGCAAAGGGTTGTACAAACCGGTCAGGAACCTTATAAACGAATCTGTGTTTTGGCTTCTATGATTCTTTTTCTTTAACAGAAAGTGCTCAAAGCTGAAAAGTTGAACATACTGCCTCCTTTGTTGCTTCTGAAGCAGCAACGTATTCAGCTTCCATGGTAGAATCTGCGATGCATTTCTGCTTCACGCTCCTCCATGAGATCGCTCCTCCTCCCATCATAAACACATAACCCGAGGTCGACTTTCTCTTATCTCGATCAGCTTGGAAATCAGAATCTGTGTAACCCAAAGGAGTTAGACCGTCTGACTTGTAAACAAGCATATAATCCTGAGTTCTTTTCAGATACTTGAGAATATGCTTTACCGCAGTCCAGTGTCCTTGACCAGGGTTAGACTGATATCTCGCAACCATGCCAACCGCATAGCAAATATCAGGTCTCGTGCACAGCATGGCATACATAAGGCTTCCTACAGTCGAAGCATAAGGAACCTTAGCCATTTCCTCTATCTCCTTTTGTATCTTCGGACACATATCCTTAGATAGAGGAACTCCATGCCGAAAACGTAGCAAATCTTTCTTGGAGTTCTGCATGCTGAAATGAGCAATCACAGTATCAATGTAAGCAGCTTGAGATATACACAACATTATCTTCTTCCTGTCAGGAATGTCCTTGATTCCAAGAATGTACGATGCCTCACCCAAGTCCTTCATTTGAAACTGTTCTGAAAGCCATACCTTTACGTCTGACAAAATCTTGACATCGTTGCCGATGAGAAGAATATCATCTACATATATTACTAAGAATACCACTACGTTTCCGTTGCTCTTTTTGTATACACAACTTTCGTCTTGACATTGATCAAATCCATAGGAGTTAATTACCTCATCAAAACGAATATTCCAAGACCTAGAAGCTTGTTTTAGTCCATAAAGAGACTTCTTTAGCTTCCATACTCGATGCTCTTGGCATTTCTTCACATAACCCTCGGGTTGCTGCATATAGATGTCTTCATCTAAGTTTCCGTTAAGGAAAGTTGTCTTGACATCCATTTGCCAAACCTCATAGTCCATGTGACTTGCTATGGATAAGAATATTCGGATCGACTTAAGCAGGGATACCGGTGAGAAGGTCTCATCATAATCGATTCCCTCTTTCTGAGTAAAACCCTTCGCAACCAGCCGTGCTTTGAAGGAATAACCTTCCCGTCAGATCCTCTCTTACGCCTATAGACCCATTTGCACCCAATGACTTTCTTGCCTTCAGGAAGGTCCCTAAGGTCGTATACATCCATAGCATCTATAGATTCAATCTCAGAATCCATAGATTTTTGCCAAGAATCTGCATCTACATCTTGGATTGCCTCATTGTAGGTCCAGGGATCACTATCATGCTCTTCACTTGGGATCAAGTCTGAAGACTCTCCCACAAACATGAAACGATCAGGCTGACGAACAACCCTTCCACTACGACGAGGCAATTCAGGTGTAAATACATAGAGTCAACAAGTTGTGCAGTCTCTTGTGGTATATCCTCTTGCACACTCGGTATGCCATTGTCTGCCCTCAAATCTTTGAGAATAATCTCACTCTTGGACTTATGCTCACTCATATAGTCATCCTCTACAAATCGGGCATCGGTGCTAACCACTACCCTCTGATCTTTAGGACTATAAAAGTAACCACCTCTCGTTCCCTTTGGGTAACCTACAAACAGCCGTACTTCTGTTCTAGGTGCCAACTTATCAGCTTCCTTATCCAACACATGTGCTGGGCAGCCCCAAATCCGAATGTGGTTTAAACTGGGCTTGCGCCCGGACCACAATTCTATTGGAGTTTTTGGAACTGATTTAGAAGGTACAAAATTAAGAAGGTACACCGCCGTTTCCAAGGCATATCCCTAAAACGAGGTAGGTAATGAAGCATAGCTCATCATCGATCTCACCATTTCTAACAGAGTCCTATTCCTTCTCTCTGCTACGCCATTCTGTTGGTGAATACCAGGCGCAGTCAGCTGGGATGTAATCCCATTCTCTAATAAGTATTGCCTAAATTCATTGCTAAGGTATTCGCCACCACGATCAGATCGCAGTGACTTGATACTTTTCCCTTGACGGTTATCCGCTTCTGCCTTGAATTCTCTGAACTTGTCAAAGCATTCAGACTTGCGGCGCATCAAGTAAATGTACCCATATCTTGAGTAATCGTCAATGAAAGTAACGAAATACTCAAAACCACCTCTAGCTTGAATAGACATAGGCCCACACAAATCAGAGTGAATCAATTCCAACATATTATTGGACCTATTCCCCTTGGCCTTAAAGGGCCTAGAAGTCATCTTGCCTTCCAAACAGGATTCGCAAACTAGAAATGGTTCAACTTGGAAAGATTCCAAGAAGCCATTACCTATCAGCCTTTGGATCCTCCTTAGATTGACATGACCCAACCTTAGGTGCCAAAGATATGTCTGATTCGACTGAGAAGGTTCCTTTCTCTTGTTTAGTGATGAAGATGCATGAGCCTCAGTCACAGTATGATATGCACAAGTAATAGTATAAAGATTGTTAACCAACATGCCAGAACAGATAAAAGAGTTATTTCTCATAATAACAACATTGTCATTAAAAATAACTGAATATCCATCCAAAAACAGCTTCGAAACCGAAATTAAATTCTTTCAAAAACTCGGCACGTAAAAAAAGTTCTTTAATACTAAAACAGAATCAGAAAAAGATAAGTGCACATCTCCCACTGCAACCACCGCCACTCATGTAGCGTTTCCCAAGCTGATAGTAATCTCGCCCTCACTGAGCTGCCTTCTTTGCAGAAACCCCTGCAAAGTATAACAAACATGATTAGTGGCTCCTGTATCTACTACCCAAGAACTGGTAGAACAAGCCGCAAAGCATGTTTCGACAACTAAAGCAAGAGACGTACCAGGAGCGTCGTTGAGGGGACAATCTGACTTCCAATGTCCTGTCTTGTTGCACTTGAAGCACTTGCCTTTCGGCTTCACCACGCCACCAGAAGGTGCTACCGCTTTGCTCCCACCACTCCCACTGCTCCCACTGGTTCCACCACTCTTTTTCTGCACTTGTTTTTTCTTCTTCCCGCCTTTCAACGAAGAAGGTCCAGCTTGTACAGAAACATGAGCCTGTGGTCCCCTTCCCATAAGATCCTCCGCTGCAACTAAGTCCGTAAGAAGCTAGGCTAGAATATAGCCCTTCTTATTCATGATTGCATTCAGGCGGAAGTTCTCATAGGACTTCGGGAGCGAGTGCAGGATGATATCGATCTTGGTTTGCCATCGATATTTCCTCCGAGCACATCTATCTCATTCAGATATTCCATCATCTTGAGAAAATGCTCTCGTACAGAAGCTCCCTCTGGCATGACAGAAGACATAATCTTCCTCATAGCCTCAAACCGAGCAGCCCTATCTTGCTCACCAAAGAGTTCCTTGAGGCTCAACATCATGTCAGCAGCAGTAGGCATGGTGTGATGCTGCTGTTGCAAAACATTTGACATGGATGCCAAGATGTAGCAACGATCCATCTCATCAGCCTTATGCCACTTCCGATGAGCCTCCCTTTCCTCTTCAGTAGATTGGGCGCTCAAAGGAGCAGGAGCAGGAGTGGTGAGCACAAACTTGTACTCATCAGCAACAATGACAATATCCAGATTTCTCTTCCAGTCCAAATAATTTGGGCCAGTAAGCTTGTTTTGATTGAGAATGAGCATAAGCGGATTGAATGACTTGATGCATAACTGAAATAAATAATTGCAAACACGTAAGCAATAATTCACATAAATTTGAAGCAAAAAAATATGGAAACCTTCAAAAACCATTATTTAATGCAACCTTCAACAAGGTAACGAACACACATGCAAGCCACGTTGGGTGGACGTTTACACATATTTCAATTAAGCAGACACCCAGTCATTGATCTCAATTGCACACCAACCTGTCCTTATGGCGAATGAAATTAATAGTCGAAATTTTAACACTGGCCATGTGAATTACAACAGGGACTCCGTTGGGGAGTTATATTAAAATTCACATCTAAGTGATGACCACAATTTAACACCAAGAACAATCATCCACAATTGATGAACTTACCGATGGGGAAGACAAATCGCTTGTAAATAATTTTCTATGGTTATCTCGAAATAATCTTTACCGGTGAGCTTATGAATGACACTATCCGTTAGGGAGGAGACCCCATGGGTCACGCGTATGCCACTCACTTCACCTAAAGGTTAAGTCGTTTGAATAGAAGTCTTATCTAGTAAGCTCGTGAATGCCGCATCCGTTAGGGGGAGACTCCCAAGGTCCCACGAGCGACAAACACCTTACTTAAAGACCAATTGTGGAGGCCAAATGAATTAATTAAAATTCATATTAAACTCACTT